TTTTTTGCTGAAGTAAGGGACGCTGGACGCCAACAGAACAACCCGCCCTCAACAGCTCGTCTTCTAATTGTTCGCGCATTAACTAGTAAACAAAAGTGTTTCTGTATTTCATTGGAATAGACAGTGGGATAAATTTGAGTGCTCTTTTTGATCAATGAATCGTCTCTTTATGTAGTTTTTCGCTGTCTTCCTCAGCTGTGCTGAGAAAATACATTGCCAGTTTGCTGAAATTTATTTATTAATCGGGGGCACCACTGATCTATTCACCGAATATTTTTAACTAATTTTATGTTGAGATAAACTGTTTTGGCAATCACTTATTATTTTATTTGTAAATTTGCTGAATAAGTATTTTCCTCTAATTTTGTTTCTTAAACTCTAAATCGCAACTGAATAATGCCAACGGCAAAAATCTCTTTACAAAATATCTCAATAATATTTGTAACGGTTTATTGTTAACGTCTTCAACGAATAACGTACTTTTAAAGTAGCGTGATACTATTTTTSATAACAAATATTAGGGGGTGCTTTAGTTTTKTCCACTCAGATTTATACTTTTGAAAAGTTTTTTGTTTAAAATTTTGTATCTCGAAAGTATACATAACTAATGTTATATTTTTTATGAATTAATAGATGTACATAATTATAACCTGTAATAATTTTTCAACTAGTCCAGTTATATTTTTCAACAATTTTGACATAAAAAAAAAGACAGTAGGGGGTGCTTTATTTTTGCGATTTAAGGAATGTTGTTGATGATTGGTAAGTTTTATACAATGTTTCAAAATGAAATATACTTCATAATAACGAATTTAACTAATTTCTTTCACTTCTTAACTGGCGTAGTCACCGCTTACGCGATTATAACCGACTTAACAACCGCGCCCCAGTCGTTTCTTCTTTTCGCTACGTGGCGCCAATTCGATATTTCAAGTGAAGTCAGGTTCTTCTCTACTTGGTCCTTCCAACGGAGTGGAGGTCTTCCTTTTCTTTCCCCGGCGGGTACTGCGTCGAATGCTTTCAGAGCTGGAGTGTTTCCGTCCATCCGGAAAACATGACCTAGCCAGAGTAGCCGCTATCTTTGAATTCGCTGAACTATGTCAATGTCGTCGTATATCTCGTACAGCTCATTGTTCCATCGAATCCGATATTCGCCGTGGCCAACGCGCAAAGGGCCATAAATCTTTCGCAGAACTGTTCTCTCGAAAACTCG